AATAACCACCAAGAAGATTTCTTTAAGATTCCAGACCAGAACAGTAATATTACCAAACCTAACAGTGAAAAGTGAAGGTGTGGCTGACAGGAGTAGAGGGCTTAAAGGGGATAAGGGAAGACAGACATGCTAATATCATCATCTTACAAAGCTACAGTCAAAACTTGATGGAGTAAGAGATAAGGGGTTAAATATATTATTTAATGTAACAGAGGTGACCAACAGAACTAAAATGTTGTTATAATTACCAAAATTTGGAAGAGGAGGGAAAGTAAGGGAAAAGTACAAGCAATAATACCCTATATTCGTAGTATGAAGAAATAATTTCTAAAGTTAAATTTTAAAATAGCCATATAAACATATTTTAAAAAAATACTGAAGAAGCCTCAGAATAAAATATAAATGGTTAAAAGCAGATGCCTCTAGGTAGTAGTGGGGAAACAGTGGAAGACCGCTGATTTTCTTTATAGACCCCATAGTACTATGTACTTTTAACTATCTGTATATGTTTCTGTGTGTTATATAATTCAACTTTTAGAATGGAAAAACTAAATCTGAATTATTTTTTTCAAAAATTAAGGATTGTGAAATGAGATTAGTCTGATGAAACTGTAGATCACATGTTGAAATTTGAAAACAACAAATGTCCATCTCATTGCATAAATATCCCATCTGCCCCACAGAGGTTGACATATCCTTTTTAATTAGAAAAGAAATATCTACCAGGTTGTAGAACAAATATCCACAAATACGTTTAGCCAATACAGTTCTGTTTTAAAAGAAATATTGCCCTAAAAGTCCACTATATAAAACAGATCCAAGGGAAGGTGCTCTGACTAAAGTAGGGAGTTCGAAGCCCCACCCAGTTTCTCCCTAAACAACAAACCTCTGATGAAGATGATAATACCTGCTAGAGGCTTGGGAAGACAACCATCTGACAGCCATTTAGAAGTTACTGTATAACAGAACTGGTGCCCAAAGCATCATAAAATGGCAAATCAGATGGGAACTGTTGTCTTTGTGAAACGACCCAGTTACAAAAGAGCCTTCTGAGATTCTGCTTATTGAGAGAGTCCATCCACTGGGACTCAAGTCACTCAAGTTAAAATGACAACAGAGTTCACTGACCTAAAATAGACTCTGCAAACAGAGTGACTTGCATTAGCCAGCAAAGCCATCCCTAACCAACAGCTCAAATCTGTCCATACAGAACACACCGAAGAATATTCTTTTGAGTATCACAGGCCATCCCCTTCCATTTTTGTCCTATTACATTTTCACAGATTTCACATGACACATTTATTATTTTAAGTGGTAGTAGCATCAGTGCTACTTGAAGAGGCTAATCCTGCTTAAACGACAGGATGACTTTCCTCAGAATGTGTTCCCTATTAGTTCCCAGAATTCACTGTATCATTTTGCACCTGCCTGCCTTCCCTCCTTCTCTCCCTCCCCTCTTTCTCTCTCTCCCTCCCTCCCTCCCTTCCTTCCTTCCTTCCTATGAATAAGAGACATCTCCCACATCCTGCAGAGCCAGAGACACAGACCTGGCGACTTAATAACATAAAACCTCTTCATATACTAATAGTCACTTGGAAAACATTCAATGCCCTTACCCCTCTCTTCCTGCCTTATTCATTAACTACTTGATTCTTTTGTTTTTTTTTAATCAGAATAAGTCCCTCATCAATTGTACAGTTTCCTGGAGAGTATTCTATCCTCCCTATTGTACTGCTAATAATAATAACAATACAAGGGATCCCCTTAATGGCCAGCCACCAAAATAAAAGTTATAAAAAAACAATAATTAACAGTAATGATGATGATAATTATAATGATAATGACAGAAAACTCTTATTTAGCACTTATTATTTGCCAGGTACTGTTCTAAAAACTTTATATAATTTAACTAATTTAATTAATTCAATAACTATATGTATATGAATTTTCTTTAGATACTTCCTCCTGTTGATTCTGCATACTCAGAGAGCCTACAGCAATGCAGGAGCTCTCTATCAAAGGTAATTACTTTGCCTAGTTTTGTGCTATCCAGTAGAAATATAATACAAGACACACGTAATTTTAAGCTTTTTAGTAGTCATGTTAAAAAAAGGAAAAATAGGTGAAATGAATTTCAAGAATATACTTTATTTAACATAATATATCTGAAATGTTATCATACCAACATGAGATAAATATAAAATGGTAATGATATATTTTATATTTTTTCATACTCTCTTCAAAATCCAGGGCATATTTTACACTTACAACACACTGAATTCTTATTAGCCAGTTTCTAGTGCTCAGTAGACACACATTAGTTAATTACCCTTACAATCTCAAACTAACAGAAGATGAGATTAGGAATTATGTGTCCTTTGTTCTTGTTGTACACATGAGAAAAATGAGGCCCAGAAAGCAGCGGTGTCTCTAGAAAATGAAATAAGCCCCAGATTCACAACCAAGGGTACTGAATTCAAATCCAAGTTCTGCCACTCTCTAGCTGAGTGATCTTAGAAACCACACCTCACTGAAACTTAGTGTCCTCATCTGCTAATGCAGGATAATAACGTCCACTTTGTACAGTTGTTCTGAGGTTCAAATAAGAACATGCATCTATACAGGTTGAGTATCCCTAATCCAAAAATCTGAAACATTTTTGGTACAAAGCATTTCGGATAAGGGATACTTAACCTGTATATTCAAGGGCCTGGCATAGCACCTACCATGACCAGTGAAGTCACAAAGCCAGCTAGCAGAGGTGCCGGATGTATCAGTCTGGGTCCAACCAGGAGATAGAAAGCACTATAAAAAATGTTACAATGGGCCGGCCCGGTGGCGCACTGGATAGTGCGCCGCTTGGGAAGCGCGGTGGCGCTCCCGTCCGAGGGTTCGGATCCCATATACAGACCGGTTCCCGCTCACTGGCTGAGCGAGGCGCGGGAGCAACGCCGAGGCTTGCGATCCCGTTGCCGGTCCCCGGTCCGGTACGGGGGCAACACTGAGGGTTGCGATCCGTTGCCGGACATGGACAAAAAGACAAAAAGACAAAAAAAAAAAAAAAAAAAAAAAATT